GAATGTCGGTGTCCGCGCTCGAAGCATGTCAGTGTCACAGAACAATACATATAAGATATGTATTAATTGTAACAAAGCCTATCTTCAAAAGTCTAGAATCGTTGTTGTTCAAGTTTTCTCAATCTCACGCAAATTTAGTTACTTTTATTTTTAGATTAATGTACTTCCATAAAGAAACTTCAGGAACTATTTGCTTTCATATTCGTACAAAAATGAAATTTCAGGAGGCTATGCACTTACTGAGCAAGATACTTCCCATCCCGACTAATCGACATTATTGAAGCTGGCTTTTTAAGCAGCCTCTTGTGCCCAATTTTTTTCCACGAGCTTATGTCCCAAACACCAGTAAGCGATTTATTTCCTGAATGACAAACAACCATATTTCAAGTTCAACAGTACAACCTTTCAATTATATATAATTACAAAGTTGACTACATCTTACAAAAGTCATGCATTTAAAGTACCTCTTTGAACAGTGCAAAATAAGAATGGTTTCGTCCCATCTTTGGAGAATCGACAAAGTTCAATTTTCTCATCCTGCAACAAAAAGTTGAGAGATCAACACCCTAAAATGAGGGGAAAATGACATGCTGAACTCTACAGAAGAATATAACATACTGAATTTCGAGTCAAAGTGGTTATTGGAGCACCATCGTTTGTATTCCATATTCTTGCTGCACCATCAGTGGATGTCGTGGCTAAAAACTCTGAATCCAAGCTGAATGGAAAGAAAAATCAGCAGCATAACCTTGAAAAGTCCATGTCCAAAGCTCTTAAATGGATCAAGATCATCCAACAATTTCAAGTGCAATGAAAGGAAGTTAAAAATGGGAAAAATATTCAGTTGCTTTTCATCTGCATTCAGTATTTAATGTGTGAACATTCCAATCTTGTGTAGAAAATTCGACAAAATAAAAGGCTGAGCTCTTTCTTATTTGATTCCTGAGTACACTTTTTGAAAAAAAGTGCAGATAATTTTTTTCCCTTGGGCAGTTGATAAAATGACTGAATACGTACACAAAGAAAATAACTTTGTGAACTTGCTTAAAAACCTTCTGGGCTATTGATAAAATAACTTTGATCATTCTACCTGAAGTCCATGTCTACGAATGACTTGTGAGCTCTTGGTTCATCTAATATGACCTTCATGCTTGGCCACTCAAATATTCTGAGATATCCATCCTTCAAGTTGAAAGAATATAATCAGCATACCTAAGTATCTTTTTCCAAATTATCATATATTCACAAACTCATAGAACAGATTATTCAATAACTTACAACTCCACCAGTAGCAAATCTAGTTCCATCGACACTGAAGGCTAAGCATTTTTGCGGACCAACACCTTGTAGAGGAGCTAGATCTTTTGTTGTTAATTTTATATAGTCTTCCCGGCCATAAACCTCAAATAATCTACATAAAGTGAAACATGATATTTTAAGTCTACAATATCAGGAAAATGAAATGTCACAAAGTTGGGAAAAAACTGTCAGTTAGCTATATTCTTGGCCTCCCTAGCATTGAAAAGTCAACCTTAACTATTTACAGGAAGAAGATGATGAATGATCTAAGAAATTTTAAGCTATCAAAGAGTAAAACATCTTTAACATTACTTGGACCGTCAAACCCACACCCCAACCAGATTTTCAAAGGTAGCAGAATTCTTTAAAGAGGGAGTATACCCAAAAAAATAAATAAATAAATAAATAA